ACACCAAAATGAACTACAATACAATATCACTAGTTGCATAAAACTTACAGGTATAATATCATACAAACTTGAAGAGAATGAACATATATTACCTATGGATAACATATACATATCAGCATTAGATACTATGGGAGAAGAATTTGATGTTTTATCTGGTATTACAAATGACAATTCACAGATTCAGAAAAAATTACTTGCTGTACTTGCTACAACAACAAAGACTGTTTTATGTATAAGACGTGTACAAGAAATTGCAGAGGGTAATGTAAGTATAATGGATGCCTTCTGTCGATTTCTGTTAATGAGAAGGATTCCAGAGACAAATAACATTGTTGTACATACCGGGTCCCCATGTCATATGTTGTATGGAGTGATGATCGTTTTACAAGCTAGTGGAGAAGGTATTATTACAGCAATGAGAGGTACAGAAACTTGGATTTGTTCTGTTCATGCCAGGTAATTCATATTTATTTGTTTTTAGTCAAATCTTATTGTGTTGCCACATGGAGGTATAGATAAATCTTGAATCTTTTATTTGTATTTGTTTATGTTGATCTTTAGTTTGTTTTACAAAGATCGAAGAAAGACAAAGAAAAATTCCTTATCTGACTGGACTCGAACCAGTGTGTTGTCTCAACGTGGTTACCGCTCTGTTTTATTTTTTATCTGAGCAACGGATCGAGCCAGCATATCTTATATCTATAATTTCTTTGAAAACTATTCCGCCAAATCATCACGATGACAAATGCGCTCCGATTGGCCAGCCCAAATTCGAAACAATTGACAGGTGTCGTCAATTCTTTCACTTCAAAACGACCAGTTTAACTTGAGTTTTGATGTAATGGACGAAAATTTAAAAATTACATATTTAATACTTAATTACCAATGAAATGTGATTCCATTTCTTTTGTAATTATGTACATGTTTTGCTGTTTTCCCCCCACCACGGAATGGAAAAGCCCCCCATTGTTAGAGATATTATGTTTATTACAATAAATACAGAATATTTTTGGGATATATGGAGACTTTCACACAGGTCAGTAAAATTGTTGGGGCTGTACTATTTCAGCTATCTAATTTGTGATTTTAGCGCAAACGAGAGTTGATATTTAGAAGTGATATAAGGCCCATTAGCCTGATGAGTTGCCAGGGATGGATGGCCCTTTCTTCGTCTCTATTTCTGATTATATACTAGATGGCGTCACTACAACCCAACATGACTGCGGCTGATCTTATGTTCTAAACTGATGTAATGTGATCACCATTAATAACAACTGAGAGCCAAGGCCATAGGATTCCTTTGGCTGTGATTGTACCTCCTCTAGCAGAGGCATATGCTTGCTCAAGAGCCAATTTCATTATGCCTACTTGATCGCAACATTGGTTTAGGAGGTGAAATGGCATGTCATCCTCTCTAATGACTATGTACTGTGTCCCGTGAAAGCCCTAGCTAACATTTGGAGACTATACCTGCTTGACACTAGAGCCTCTACAATGTTTGGGTTCTGTAGGCATTATCAAATGTTGTCTATTATATATATTTACGATGGTTGTCACTAATTACGGTTAGTGAATATAATTGAAACATATTGTTCTGTAGCACCATTCTATCGCAGTATACTTACTCATCATTATAGGCTTCTTCAATGAGATCTATTGTGTTTTATCTCCGTTTAGTTACTTTGTAACTAAAATTGTAAAAATGTTGGATTGATGAGTGTCAAATGGCTAGTGCACATTGTTTAATACGTTTACCTATAAATAACGTCACGCGTTTTATGTTGACAATTTATTTTTATTATTAAGAGTTTATACTATCTCAAATGGCTTTGGTTGATTTTGCATAACAGTGGAAGTGTTGATACAATCACTTTGGAAAAAAATATAGTGAGGATTATACACTGATTATTTATTTTATATTTATTTTGATACGGTGTGAAAACACGATTCTTAAAAATTTTCACTATAGAAAAAAACACAAACTTACCTCGAAGTGTTACAAGAAAACCGCTTTATTCAATAAGTACTTTACATAAATATCAAAGATTTTATATCAACTTAATTAAATAGAACAGGTATAATATACGATACATTTTTCAAATGGACTTAATTTCGTTTGTAAATAATAAATTCTGAAATAAAGCGTGTCCCTGCCACTCGACACAAGCAAAATGATCCATATTAGTACAAATGAAGCATAGTGGTAGTATCGGGCAAAATTAGAATTCGAACTGAGTTAATATAAACTCTTAAACATAGGCTATGGGTCTTGAAAAGCTTTATATAAATTTAAAAAAAAATTATTATTACATATTCATTATGGTTAATTGTAAATAATTTCTGAAAAGTTGTCCAATTCCATATTGTTAACTTTGTTGTATGTCTACATTTCAGGTCCCCGCCTCAAGTATTGGCCTTAATCCACTGCATCCACGACGCAATACCTCACCGCATAGTCGTAACAACCACGAACTTCCGTCTCTCTGCTCGCTCACAACTTTACTCTCATCACAATGAGGATGTCCCACGTATCACCACTCCAAATTATTTCGAATACGGAACATCAATTCTTACACAGACTACAGACATGTTAAAATACTTTGACAACTGTATGCTGAAGATGAATGAAAGTAAAAACCCTGTTGTTCAATGTAAAATTGGTAGAGAGATTGATATTTTTGTCGGAGGTATGAAGGAGTTTTTGGACTTTAGAAAAGACATACTGGACTGTGGACTGAAAGGCGTTAATTCTATAGTGGAGCTACCGGAGGGTAATGAAGTTGTAGTTGTTAATGTTGATTGATATATTTTACTTTTATTAGTATTAGTAAGTTATGAAATCAGACTTTTGATTGAAAATGAAACTATTCCTTTTTATATATAGTATTTAAATTGCGTATCAAACAACGTTTCGAGTTCTTTACAGGTCTATAACGTCTGGCACTTTATGCTAGAAGACGTCGGTTCAAATACGGCCGGATCGAAGGATTTTTTTCTGAGTGTTCGATCTTTGTATTAATAATTATAACAAACTAGTGGAGTAATTTCACATAAAATAATTGAATATCAATTCAATAAAAATTTAAATAATTAAGTCTAATTTAATTTTAATAAATTTTCAATTCGTAATAATTTTTTTATTACAAGAAACGAAAGTTTATACCGCTGCGTTGCGGTCACTTTTTTATTGGAGAATTAAGTATCTGAATTCGTCGTTGTTCAGGTATTAACTGCTAGATGGCAGCATACTGATTGAAATTTCAATGTAAAATCAAAACGTCTAACTTGCATTTTTAGATATTGAACTTGCAACTATATGCCAACAAGGTAAACTTTAAATTATATTAACAGTCTAGAACTAGTTTTTTTTTAAACTACGACCAATCATTATCAAGATTTCATAGTCTTTCAAATTATGAATATGCGAGTTTTGGTGACAACGGTTCTGATAGTAATCGAGGCTTAGGGCACTTCCATTGTTTATTCTTACGTGGTCACGACTGACTCAGATACTTAGTCATCAAACCAGTAATATGTATAGTAATATTAAACCACCATTAATGCAAACCACCCTTTTCAGAAGTATAGTTACAAAAGTTATTAATTACCTGTAAAAAGCCCATTGTTTTGTTAGAAAAAAACCGAATATATGCGATTTAGATCTGAGAAAAAATATAAGTTTTATTTCCGATGGATAGCAATCATGAAAACCTAAGAAGTCAATATCAGATTTTAAATTTTGACGAACACGATGGTCCACTGGTAGGACCTATTCATAAAATTTAGCCGTGGGGCGACGGCTTAAGAATACATTGTCGCCTCCCCATACATGCCCGTGGGGGTCGTAAGAGGCGACCGAGGGCGTCACAAGTGTCCATCTGCTTAGCATTGTGGTAGGCTCTGTGCCGACTGGATAGCGACCACAGTACACACGGCGGAAAACCCTCCACAGTGAAACGCTTTTGCGAATCGCGTTCAGGGATCAGTTGGTGTACATCCAGTGCATTTGGCCAGACCGGCAAAATGATAGTGACGGAGTGAAGATATTTGTGTTTTCCATCCGTTACTCTCATCTCTGGACTGTATTCGCACTTTCCATCAGGCGCGGTGCAGTCATTATGTCGAGTCGCAATAAAAAAAAAAAAAAAAAAAAAAAAAAAAAAAAAAATTACCTAAATTTGTTCTGGTGTGGGTTTTCTGCATAGTGCCCCAGAATCAATTCCGTTACTCTGGTATTCATACTACAGGGAATTCCTTCCAGAATGTGAATGTCCACAAAAATAGGCTAAGTCAGAACTATCCATAACCGATGAGCATTTTGGAAGGACCTAAAGTAAATAGTATGTTAGGATTGTAAGTGCAGGTTTACAACCCTAACATACCAAGCATATTAGAGAGAGCTAGCTCTCTCTAAGGCTCAATTTATATTGCGGCGGAACGGAATGGAAGCGAATTTTTGTAACGATATTTTTCATAGCGTAATGAACTTTAAGGTCAATTGTGTAACGCACAAATTAGATACGAGACAAAAACCCCGTCACACGTCTTCCACGGAATTATCGAGCATGCTCGACAATGTTTGCGCAACCGCAAGAATTCGGCAGCTGCCATCGGTGACACGTGGCGAATTCGCAGGCACTGTGTGACCTACTAGTGTGAAATACTACAGCCTTAAGGTGCAGTCGCGAATGCTCGAGCATTCACGCGATTGCTCGAGCATTCCCGTCATGGCTCGAGCATTCCAACAACTGCGCACGCTTTCTCGCGCAGGGAAGCGACATTGATACTTCCATTCCATTCTGTTCCGCCACAATATAAATTGAGCCTAAGCGCGCCTGAGCGTTCCTTTGCAATTTAGTACTTTTGTCCTACTTTGTACCTAATCTATTATGTTAGTTGACGAGCTTAATAAAAAATTGTACTAATATGGTCGAAATAAGGTCTGTAATATTCAAAATTTGCTGTGATATTAAAGTTATATGTCCCTTTGTAAAGTAGGTTTGAACATATGAAAAAAGTAGTTAAATAATGTTATTTTAGGAGTTATTAAGGAAATAAAAGCATAAATATTGTTCCAAAAGCTTTTAATTTGTGATACAAGAATAATTCTTATAAAACCTACGTACTTTAATTATATGTTATTTATAAAATAAATATTTTAATAATTAACAAACATAATTCGTAACAAATGCCTTTGCTTAGATCTCAATATAAATAGAATTTAAATTTAAAAATTACCCGCTGAATAGAAATACGATTTAAATTTACAAATTCGTTTATAAATTCGCACATTAAATACTGGCTGCAAAGATATTCCTCGGCCATTCTCACATTCGGTGTTCTCAGCTTAATTACCGTAGCTGTTTCGGTGTCCTCGGCCTAATTACAGTAGCCATTGTTTTTTCTCGCTTAATCTACCCAATAACATTGAAATATGAACAACTATAAGCTTAACTATGAATAACATACTAATATACAAATAATAATACAGCACTGTCAGAAATAGTAGGTTTTTCTTACCAAAATGTTTGAACTTTCTAATTAACGTATCCATGGCTACGGTAATTAATAATAATAATAATAATAACGCGCTCACTCAACATATCCCCGCACAGGGAAAACCTGTGTCGCGGGTGCCATGGACACACACATAGACAAACACAAATTACACCCAAACTTACGAGAGAAATAAATGTAGGCCATACAAATATTTCTCCCGGCCCGGGAATCGAACCTATGTTGGCAGTTAGATCTAATTACCGTTTCCATAAAATATTTATTTCTTTATAACTCGAAAACTACTTTCTCTTTTCTAATGCCATTTAGACATATTCATAGTTAAGCTTAAAATTGTTCACATTTCAATGATATTGGGTACATTAAGTGAGAATAAGCAATGTGTACGGTAATTAAGCTGAGGACACCGAAATGGGTACGGTAATTAGGCTGAGAACGCCGAATGTGAGAATGGTCGTCCTATAATTGTTCATAAATAAATTATAACTATATAAACGTACAAAATTGAGCATTGCCCCATATAATTTTCTACTTAACAATCTATGCATATATGAAAGTTTTGACTTATTTATCTATATTCTTTTAATACCTAGTCTATTGAATAATATTAATTATGCATTATTCTAAATAGGCATACGACTTATATTGTAAAAATACTAAATAAATAAACTTTGCTAGTAATTTTATTACCAACATTGAACATGAACAATTGCGTTATTAAAATTGAGTTATACCCGGTTACCGTTTGTGATATATTTAGCACCATTGCAATCAGCCATTTTGACTTAAAATATTTAATACTAAGTAGCTTAAGGGTCATTTTCACATCGAGAATCTGTGTCGAATGTAACAGGAAGTTGTGGTAGTCTAATTGTTTGACCTAACACCTCTCAAGCAGAGGCCGTGGGTTCCATTCCCGGCTCGTGAGTTTTTTGGAATTTACGTGCGAAATTTAATTTGAAATTTATTATGAGCTCTTCGGTGAAGGAACAGCAAATAACCGTCGAAGAAGATTCACAACCCTTGGAACGCGTGTGAAGTTTCGACCCGCATCGGGCCAACGTAGCGGACTATAGCCTAAACCCTCGCCTGAGTAGACCCGTGCCCAGCAGCGGAACGTATAACTTGGTTGAATCATGTACAATCAAAAGCGCGTTTAGTATAACATTTCAGACTTTACACCGTACTTATCTCAAGTGGCATAGAGCTCAAATTAAATGTGAACTTTGACGTGCTATTGACTGTACGTTACGCATTATATCATAATGCGTTGTGATTTATTTGCCTCTTAACTTATGAACGGCGTTGACCACTTGGAACTGCTAATGTGCGGACCCATTTAACACAATGAAATTAACTTAATGTAAAGCTTAATTGTTATTTCGTAAAATGCTACATACTAATGATAAAATATACGAAGACTTAAAAGTAAAGAAATTTTAGCCACAACCATTAGGTATACCCTGAATGTTGGTAACAAGCAATCTTAAGTTTCACACAAACAACCAATATAGAAACGACAGGCTTACTTAGAAGTGTTACACGATTACTGTCGAGTAATTTTCCAAAAAAATTTCAAATAGTGAAAATTCTGAAAAATTGGGAAAGTATAATTCGAAGACTCATATTAACTTTAAATATTATATCTTTTAAAGTTTTATTTAGCATGAATTATAAAATAAAACTGTATATAAACGTTGCTAAATGTATTGTATAAACATTTCTAAACTCTGCTTGACTTATTGTCACAAATTCTTATAATAGAATACAGCTTAGAAATTCTAAAGAGTACAGTATCTTCAACTTTTAACATGCGTCATTGTTAAAATGTGGAAAAATATAGGGATAGGTAATATTCAAAATAATTTGATTTTTGTAAATTTTTCCATTACCCAATACTATGGACCATTAATCTCAGACCGCATTAATAAATTGTTGTTGTCAGTTATAGTCTTTGGTGAGTACTTGGCAAATAGATGCAATTCCACGAACTTTTGAGGTAGTTTTTTATAAAAAAAGTTATATTTCTGTTAGTCCTATCGACTTGTTATATTATGGAAATCCGATGATATACTGCGACCAGGACAGTCGCAGATTCCGTAGTCTGTAGAACTGGATGGCTTTGTAAAATAGCGGCCTATCTCAAATGCATCCTCATCAGGAAGATGGTTTAAAAAACCTGAGACCGTTCTGCCGCGCAAAGATGACGTATCGTAAACCATTCTAATGTTGTGATGTGATTATTCTAACCAACGAAAAGCTTAGATTCCTATGGACAGCAAAATTTATCATTTTCTGAATAAATCTCGACAATATGTAAAGGAGAATAAATTATGTATTAGGCCACGATTCTTAGGGTGTGTACAGATATGGCGAATGCGCCGCGAATGCATGCTGCATGCGTGCAATTAAATACAATGTTAATATATGTACGTAATATAATAATATAATGTATATGTATGTAATATGTACGTAATGTATGTAATATATGTGGGCACGCGAACAGCTCGCACAACGTAATGCAGCTCGCGAGTCTTTCGCAAACAAGCGTATTTGCGGCGTCAGATCTGCACCCTTAAAAAGCAGCGAACTGTTGGGCCCACTAAATTAGTCTCGACGAGTTGTTCATTACCTTATTGGTGACTTTATGGATATTTTAGGGTATCTACTACATTTAGTAGTAGTAGTGTGTTATTATTGTTAGTATTTAGATAAAATTTGTTGATATCATCTACAACACTAAATTCTCTAACTATGGAATTGATGAAATATTTACGATTGCAAGTTCCCAACATCATAAATACCAAAACCCAAACATTGCGCTCTGTACAGAGAGGCTTTATTAAAATGACAGTCTCTCTGGAGCACTTTAACACTAAGTCAGGTACTAGGAAGCTTTATATTGCTGCCTGACTCTACGAGCATTATTTACAAGTCGAATAAAATTAAACTAATTCGTTAAATAGACTTGATTTTGCTGTACTCCTCACTCTTATACGATCTTGGATTCCCCCCTTTCGCCATCACTTGGTTTCGTAAGTAACTGAACGCCATTAAGCTGCGTATCAAAATAGATGATACATTGTCAAACTAGCGCGCTTTTACAGATGGCGTTCTGCAAGGTGGTGTTCTTAGGCCCTTGCTGTTTTGGAACTATTTTCATAAATTCCATCATCGAGAATCTCTCTTATAAGTATCATCTTTATGCTGATGATCTTTAGCTATATATCCAAGAGAACGCCGAAAATATCGGTACAGCTGTAGATTTTAACAAAATTGCTACTTGGACGTTTGCTTACGACCTTTCACTTAATCCGTGCAAGTCTTAGCCTATTTTATCGGGGGATCCTGACAGCTGTCTCGCATCGACAAGAATAAATAACTCTTATCCATTTTCCTCGGCAATCAATCTAGCATTGCAATTCTGTTAAAAATTTACGAGTGATCGTAGTATATACAGTAAACTTAAAACGTTTTAAATGCTTATTTACAAATTATTTTCTAACAAATTTTATCTCTACATATCGAGTTGAAGTTAGACGACATTTAAATAGGTTTGTCGTCGTAACTCGTAACGCATCTTATCTCAAAAATGCTTCTTTCTCTACAGTACTTATCTTGGAGTAAAAAAACGTTTCTGCTTATATTTACATGTAAAAGTACTGTTATAGAATGATTAGCTATTGAAAGTAAGGGTAGTGAGTTGAACAACATTGATAATGTTTAACACTTAAAATAAGTGGGCCTATAGGCCTTAAAACGTATAAGTACAGTTGGGTTCCATTTTGAGTGGTCCATAAACAAATCCAGCAAACAAAAACGGCAAGTCTTGCTTACAATCACCATATAGAGTGAGAAATTCGTCGTTAAGAAATAATACCTGTTTAAATTTTGTATTTAAAAGAATCGACTAAAAGATGTTATTTAACGGCACTCATAACTAAGTCAAAAATCAATCTCAAGATCTGGATTTAAAAAACGTATATGAAAAATCTGTTGATACAAAACCAGCGTATGCTCTGATACCGGATGTCCCTATCTCTTGCCTTCTATCTTATTTATATTTATGTGTATTTATTTGTAGCTCTTATAAAATAATGTATGCATGTATCGCACGTGTATCGTAAATGTGTAGTGTGGCATAAAACAGAGGATACACGCAGTATGTAAGTACCATTTCCGCAAGACTCAGACGATGCTGAGGAACGGCTGAAAATCAGCGTCTGTCTCGCTCGAGATGGACATATTGATGAGTTGTATCTTTTTCTTCTTTTGCGCCACTATACGCACTTACTTGCTTAAAATCACACTGCGTAATTTACATTTGTTATTTTAGTGTTAAGTATAGATTTAAGTGTGTATAGTGACTCAATTTAACGAATAAACCTTTTTTTTTTCTTTCAAAAAAGGCATGTTTGACCATGATGGTGAACTATATCGCATTTTTAATACAATTATTACTCAAAAAGTGTATTTTCACAGAATCGATGAAAAACGAATATTCACTTCCCGTGAAAAATCATTAAAATATGTGCATAGGCTAAGGTTTATTATACATATCTAAACAATTTCGCACTTGCGCAAATCCATTTAAATATAAAAAGAAAAAATAATTTAATATTTTTGGATAAGGACTGTTTCCGCCAGTAATAGCTCACATAAATTGTGTCTCGTTTTGAGTTAAGTAGACATCTTCTTTATTTTTTACAAAATCGACGGTTTTATTGACGTACAGAGAATCAAATTTTACGTTCAGTAATGATAGAATCTTGAATTTCACATATTTTGAGTTACAACACTATTGTGATAGCAGAGCTATATGCTTAACACTTATGGAATAACAATTATAATTGTTCAAATATAGCAAATAACTTTTTAAAAAGAATAAGCCATTTATAGGTCAGAACTGCTCTAAAACTAAGCGCCTATGAGATAAATAAATTTCCCACTATATTCATGTATTTGATACACCTGAGGAACTAATTAACTTATAATATTATTAAAATTGCACATCGTCCGGCCTTTATATCTATTTTCCTATTTATTAGAGGTATATTATTGTATCGTTACATGTTTTAACTATATAGTTTTGTCATATTGTTACTTAGTTTGTAGGAATGTTGTAGATTGTAATTCTTATAATTATTGCACAGGCTATTTATTGCACATTTCTTTAAATTGCACAACCCATTCATTATTATAAATCTAATGTTATCATTTATTTAGTAGGAATTCACTATAAGCATTCTTTAGAACGTCTTTGTTTTCTACTACTGTCTCTAGCATTCTTGATTCCATTGAAACTACCTTCTAAACCACCATCTAAACCTTCCTGATTTCTAAATCGTCCAAAATACACTGAATGCGTTTCCACACTTTCAGCGCCAGATTCACTCCTAGCTTCATTTTCTGTATCGTCACTATCACTGCAACTAACAATCTTTGCGATCACAATTTTTCGTTGAGCACGTCGCGAACTTGTAGAGTCACTACTTAAATACCCTGAGTCCTCAATATTAGAGCCCTTCTTCCGTCTGAATCGTGGCTTAGAATGACCTTCAGTTTTGGAGCCCTTGACGAATGTATGCGTGTTAATTTCAGTACATGAACTTCTAGCTGAAGGTCTTCTATTAGAAGTTCTGCAATATTCACCCGATTTTCTGGACTCGTCTTGGTCTATTTCGTATTCCGAGGACTGTGATTCGACAGAAGCTCTTAACGGACCGCTGGAGGATCCATAAAACGATTCATGAGGAATTGAATTTGGGCGTTGAGGTTCAATCATTTTCTTCATAAATATCCTCGGACTGAGGCTTCTGCCACTCACGTTTTTTTGGTGATCATCGATGGGTAACCTATCACTTTCAACTCTTCGTGGAGGATACGAAGGTTGTTCGTATATTGGATTCTCACTAGTCGGCGGTAACGGCGGTAAGACATCAGGTCGAGCGAGGTTTTTGATTTGTTTTATCGTCGGTGGCGTGCATTGACGTTGTCTTTTGGAATGGCGCAGCTCCAAAGTCAATATACGCCCTTCCTCTGTAACCCAATCAGCGGGTTCTTCCCAAACTTCTTCTGAAGTATCCTCAATGCATTTTGTTCCGTTAAAAGTTGTTGGCAACAACTTAGGTCGTTCGTTTATGTTTTTCCGTTGCTCGAAGTCGTTTCTTAGGCTATTAAATTTCGCAGTGTACTCAATTTTATTGTTAGTCTTTGTAAATGTGCCGCTACTTCTTAACATTATACTTTGACTAGGTGGAGATTCTTTGTTTGTTAAATTTTTAATTAGATCTTTTCTACTAAATTGAATAGTTTCCACTGTTTCCTTATGTTTTGGATGTTTTCGGTCTAGAGTATCTGGTTCAAAGCCATCAGATTCGTGGATTTTTATGTAATTTTCTGGAGGATCTTTTACTTCTATTGTCAAGCATCCAGGCTTTTCTTCTGTAAAATTTTCTTCAGTTTTTATAGCGCAGGTTAATTTTCTGCTACCCATAGAACATTCAGATCCACTCGGTGATGTCGGCGTGCTACCAAAGTTGTAGTTGTTGTTTACATACACTTCGCTTACTAAACTGTAATCACTATTTTGATTTACTTTTTCAGTAGCTGATGTTTTCGGTGGCTCCATTTGTTTTCCAATAATTTCATAATGACTTTGGTCGATGAAAATATCTCTCTGTGGTGAAGGAGTATTACTGTTACTACTAGAATGTTTGTATACGGCATTCCTCATTGTAAGTTCTTCTTCAAGAGGTAGTGCGTTGCTCAAACTAGGACTAGCTTGTGAAGATGGAACTTCTGGATACTCTGTAGATGTAGATATTCCTTTTTTTTGAGAATTTCTTTCTAAACTGTCGGTTTCGTAATCGTTGGCTAGCGGACTTTCCGAATTATTACGTGCGAAGTTTTGGGCAACGTTGTAAATTTTTCCATGAAATCTTTCTTCATCAGAACTGCTGTGACTGTAAATTTTAGAACTGTGATCTAGAGCTACGGCTTCATTGACCATATCTGGTAGAGCATTCTTATTAGTGATGAATTTGTTTCTTCTTTGATTTGCTATTGCATTGCTTCGTAAGCTTCCTGAACGATAATCACTGAGGCCAATAGGTCTTATATCATCAGCCCTGGAAACTGTTTGACAGTATGTACTGTAACTCGTCGGTTGGTAATCTTCGTTTTCGAATTCTGGCAACGGTAAGTTGTAATTTCTTAATGGTGGTTCTGACCTTACAGACATTGTCGAAGCTCTTCTTTTAGGTACGGCTAAACCATCTGATAATTGCATTGAGTTAGTAGCTGAAAAACTATTTTGTTTCCTCAACTTACAGCGGTTCTCTTTGGAAGGCAGTGATAAGAGTGAGTTGACCAAGCCGTTGTGATGAGTATTAGATGAATATTCATTATAAAGTGGTTGACTTTTTACAGTGGGTATATTTTCTAACCATTTTCGAATACTATTTTGTTTATCTCCTCTACTGTTCATACAATTGGAACAGGCTGGAGCATCGTATTGCAGTAAGTTATGAAGGTCGCTGTTATCCGATTTGCAACCAGGGCATCCCACGCAAATTGATTTCTTTCTACTATTCTCCCTTTTGAGGCTCACCACGCTGCCACTTCTTTGACTTCCTAAACCTTGGTATAGCTCGACACTGTTCCTATTTGAAGGATAGGTTTCTTCCTCTGGTATTTGATTTAAAATTGGTTGAAAGCGTTTAGCTGCCATTTTATGTTTTGCTATCGAAATGACTTCCCGAATTTTTGTTAGAAATTCCAGTGCTGCTGGAGGAGGTTCCTGAAATTAATTGAAATCAAATTATATTCAATAGAAATACAAAGTAACATGTTAATGTTTTTTAATCAGAGAAATTAATTTTACCGCCATCAAATGAGGTTCGAAATAAGCTGGATTAAAATACAGTTTACGTCTTGTAGTTCCCACAGGTCTTGCAATCTCTCTATCGTCAGTTGTCTCTACAATAGATACGTGTTCGTCCGGCAGTCGTTCAATGCCTGATTCATCTCGATGACTGACTTCGGTGTCATTTTGGATTTTCATTTCATTGTAACGTAAGTGCACGACTGCGGAAGTTTTACTTTGGCTCTGGAATAAAATAAGTTCATTAATTCTTCTATAATTAACACTAACAAAGAGAAACCAATATATTTACTTCTGCCTTACGTTTATCAAGTTGTCCTCACTTCGTGGATTGCTATCGGCAAAGTCTTCCGAATCTGATAAATTACTGCCAGAGTCACTAGGGAAACTTTTACTATCGTGGAATTGTCGGTTCAAATTCAAAAGTGGATTTTTCTTAATTACTCCATCATCTCCCATAGCATTGGATAAATTTGGAACGCGGTCATTGCTGATTCTTATTATATCGCGTTCAGTTATAGCAGTGCCATCTTTTTTCTTCAAACCTTTTAGTCTTCTGGTACTTCCTTCGTCTGAGGCAGCTTTTTTACGTTTTCTTATGTGCAAATAAAGGAAAACCGAGGCGACGTAGATGAGACCAAGAAGGAGAGAGCTTATGCCGATTGCGACGTACTCGGTAACAGATAGACCTGATCCGTTGGATGCTTTAGAAGTGTGGGCATTTGGTGCAAATTGGACTTCAGTTACATCTGCGAAGATAATAAACATAGGAAAATAAAAGTTAAATCCAGGTCGAACACTTCTTTGGTGCAGTCGCGGTCATAAAGATATTGTGAAAGCACAGAAGGTTATTTACGACTTAAACATCAAACTTACTTGTAGTATGTCTGGGTGGTGACCCCTGCACCCTGAATGCGACACACGGCGTGAATACCCCGCGCAAGTCCAAGGGCAATGTCGGTGTGGCGGACACATCGCGGCACAAGAGACGTACCACCATGACGCGACCTGACATGCGTGCACGCACATCGTCTTCGCCGCTCCACTGGAAAACGTTAAATAATTTTATTTTATTTGCTTTGAAGAAAAGAAGGAAAATTTATTTATTTCACGACCAAAAATGACAACACAGAAGAAAAAAATAAATGTTATAAACATAATCAAAATATTGATTGATATGAGACGATAAATAATTACCAAACAAAATCGCAACGAAAACAAAAATTTTGTTAAATTAAAATGCAGGTTATTTACATAAACATAAACAGACACTATAATGATTTTTTTTAGGTTGCGGGTCGTAATGACAAACATTCACAAATGACATATTTTTAGTCGATATAACGCTCAACAGATATAATTAATTTATGGTATACAGACATTTGACATATTCTTGCATGATATAAAGGTCACTGGGTATAATAGACGATTAATATGACAACTTTTATAGTCTTTAACTGCCTCTGTGGCCGAACGGTTACCATGTCGAACTGCCACGCAGACGTCTCAGGTTCGATTCCCGGGTCGGAAGAAACATTTGTATGGCCTACATTTATTTCTCTCGTGAGTTTGGGTGTAATTTGTGGTTGTCTATGTGTGTATCCATTGCACCCGCCACACAGGGTTTCCCTAGTGCGGGGCAATGTTGAGTGTGTGCGTTATAATTAAAAAAAATACCGATGGCATAATGCTCATTTTACATAAACATTTCGGATATAACATACACTCAGTATAATGCATTTAAAATTATTAGTATAATTCCAGTGGAGTTTAGTGTTTAGTTGCATGTACAATGGTGAATTTGTTTGCATTTGCTAGTTGGTTCGACCTCCTCCTGTGGCTATAGGTTAGGTTAGTTATAGGTAAGTTTTAATAAATATATTTTATAACATAAAAAGCACTTAAAGCTATACAAAAACCATTATATTTTGCGATTGTACATATAATGAAATAAAAAAAATCCTATCAACATATTTTAGGGCGCTTCAACTATTCGTAAAACGAAATTTAGTGTTATATATACAGTAGGTACTTATATGTTATATATACCTATATATATACAGTACTACCAGTACATATAGTACTAGCATGTAATCACTGGTAGTACTTATACCATTTGTTCAGTATGTCACCTAATAATTATATAGATATATTAGAACATTAGAATGTGTGTTATACTGAAGGTTCATTATACATATTGAAATTATGCCTTTTGTTGTTATACCTTTTCTTGATAATATAGGTACAGTGAGTGATTATATCCATATAATTTATATAAAAAATGTTGTTATACAAAGTAAAAATAGATTATTTGTCGTTATATCTTTCATTACACTCCCTATTTTAAACCTTTTTTAAATTAATTATGTACTTTTTTTAAATAATAGGTACATGATTTTTGTAACAGTTATATACTGGCACTAAATACTTAGACATCTCATTGAAAACAAACCATTATAATATCTTTTACTCACCTGTAGAAATGTTCTGCCTTCATCACGAAATAGACTGAATGGCACATCTGCATCAAGAGTATTTCGAAGATCCGAAAAGCCTTTGCGCGTTAAGAACTGTGCCCCTGATACTGCACAAATCGGAGTCTTGACGTCTGTACAAAACGTTAAGATCATCTTTCTTTATGAATATCGATAATCATTAAGTAAAAGCTTGCGAAAAGAAAGTAGGTAACAAACAACTTACTTTGGAACGTAATCTCTCTTGATGGATGAATTATTTGACCTTTTAGTGGCAAATACACGAACGGGATGCGTTGCATGTTGACACCCGTGCCAAAAGTCGCTAAAGAACATTCTGGAAAGTAAAATATAACAAATGAGACAAAGTACAGTATAAACAAGGATTTCAACGCTGTCACAAATATCAACGGAGAATTATTCGTTAAATTTGGACGATAATCTTACACTCTTTTTCAATTCACAATTTGTTACGTCTTTACGTCACATTTGTAAAGGAATTGAGACTAAGACTTCTTTGGTTTTATTGTTAAAATTTTAAATACTTTTTTACATTTTGAACGGTATTAAAAATTTTAAAGCGGTAAGCTGCTGTATTACGCTTATTATGAACTAAAGCTGAGCGTCGATCGAAAGCCTACGTTTCAGTAATCAACAGTAATAATAATAACAATAACGCACACACTTATAGCCCCACACTAGGAAAACTCTGTATCTCGGGTGCCATGGACACACACATAGACAACCACATATTACATCCAAACTCACGAGAGAAATAAATGTAGGCCATACAAATATTTCTCCCGGCCCGGGACTCGAACCCAAGACCTCTGCGTGGCAGTCCAGGATGGTAACCGTTCGGCCACTGAGGCGTTAATAGTATTAGCATACATATATTTATCGTACAACTTAATTTATATCATTGTCACATAAAAGGAATTCATCTTTATAATAAAATTGATCCTTTTGATCAGCATTATAAAAATACACGGTGTTTTTTTGTACTTGAAGCAAATTATACTATCTGCAATATTTAGAGTACTTTCGTTCCGTGGGACATCTGTATAGGATATTGTGTTTATGTATGTATTTACATTTAAGTTTATGAGGATATATAAATCATTCATATTTACATTATATTTACATTTAAAATTAAAAAACAAATACAATAAACTATAACTATATATATAAAATTATACATAGGAATAGTAACTATTTTCCGGATTTAAAAAGCGTAAATTGAAACGTTCTTTGTAAAATTAAAAATAAGGTATTTAATGGACGTAGTTAAACAAAAAGGTCCAATGCACATCCAGTCACTTTCGAGATATGGCAGTTTGAAGTTTAAAAATGTTTCTCACTCATTGACTTACAAATAAATGGACGACGGGTCTAATACAAAAATCACGAAAAAAATGTCCCAAGTCAACCTATTCGAAATTTAAATTGTAATGTCATCGCAGTATCGCGCTGTCAGTCGAACAAATGAAGACTAAAGCGGAGTTTGGCGCTCTGTATACGATTTTAGCGCCTTACAAGTGCGGACACCTTTTAGCGCGGACCCGACGTCCATATAATTGTAAGTCAATGTTCTCACTCTTGTTTTATTTTCAAAACTTATAAATGTCATGTAACTCTAGAGATATTTGTTTATGTTTATATGTTGGATTATTTTGCTGATCTAAGAGGCTAGACTTTAGGAACCGTTTGGTTCATGTAGCTCATTTTTTAATCATTTTATGGATTGGATCCTTTTTGCTTAACTAGTCCAATTAATAACTTTTGTAACTATAGTGAAAAAATAGGGTGGTTTGGATATTAGACATAACTGGTCGATGACTTTACCAACTCAGTCAACCATGACCTGTAATGGGCCCGAAACGTTGGTTTGTTGGAAAAAACAAATATACGCGATTTACCTAAATCCGGAAAAATAGTTTAATTTCCTAAGTACCACAGACTTTATTATTTTGGCTGGACGAAATCTTTTCCAGAGAGCACATCTTTGTATTCGTCTTTTGTGACATGTATATTTAACGTCTTTTCTCTGTGCAATAAACAATTTTAGTACCTATCTATTTAATTACTTTGACAAAGCGGTTTAGAAGTGTTCAGCTTTTCTTGTGACACGGATCTAGAAATTTCAATTTCTGTTTTGTCAGGAATGAAACTATTTTTTCGAATCTATTGTTTTAAAAATATATAAAATGCGAAAGGTTATAAAATGCGAATAAATCTCTAAATCTATAATATTTGCGTGACCATTGAATCTGCAAAAGTCCCGAAATGTTGGTTTGTTCTAAAAAATAAACAGACACGATCGAAAAAAAAATTGCATTTCCAATGTGAACAATCGCGAAAACTTTAGAACTCATTATTTATCTTGTTTTAATTTTTTTGGACTAACTGAATATATCGAAGTATAATTGAATAGGTAGGTACAGTTTTACCAACATTATAACGTTAATTACCGTTGACGGTTTTGACGTGCAAGTGTGAGATCACATTTGCGAAATTATACTAAATATTAGAACAAATTATAACGTTTTGTAGAGAAATAACATAACGATATTTCTAACTGCCTGCGCAAAGGGTGCTTGAATCGCACTTAACTCCTACATTACATGTTTAGTGGCTTTTACTTATCTATATTATATAAATTGTTGCTCTGTTACCAATTTTTTTTATTACGATTTTAAAATGAATTTAGATTGAGAACTGTTGGCTGTTTAAATATAATTTCAGATTTTTTTTTTAATAATACCAAGTGATGAGATGAACTAGTAGTGTGCCTGATGGTAAGCGATACGCCTAGAGCCTTAAAACGCAAAGATCTTAGGGGCACTGGTACTGCACCCGTCACCCTGAGACAAGTTGACCAGTTCCATGTACCTGTAATTTCAGTAGCACCCTTACCCTTCAAAACCGAAACACAGTAATGCTCACATTACTGCTTGGCGGCAGAAATAGGTGAGATGGCAATACTACCCTGGACGAACTCTTTCACATGGAGCTCTACTGCTACTAAAGATTACTTAAGATGTAAGCACGGTGATGCCGTAACTGTTTGATAATCAACTTGTATGTATTTTTTAAAGTTGTTACAGGATAACAATCGCAAATTGGTTTAATTTTTTAACTTTACCCCATATAAATGAAATTTTTTCAGGAAAGAGGTTTAAAGATTTTGCGAATATGATTAGTCGATAACTTTAATATGCTTAATTGGAAGAGTTGTAACCTTTTAGATTATACAAAATCTGTTTAGTATCCTTTTTATGTCTTTCATGTGATAAAAGCACTTTTGACGATCACATGTGGCTTTATTTTATCAAAGTTAAATTAAATCAAAGTCAAATAATAATTTATTCCATAGGTAACATTTTTACACTTGAAAACGTAATATTTTAAGCTGCAGCTCGTTCACTTCGCTGACCTCCCCGGGAAGAACGAGCAAGAAACTCTAGGGATTGCTCGTTTCAAATAAACTTAAATGCTATGGAATACACTTTGAATTGCAATTGTGTGGAATGTAGACTCATGTTGTCTTTCCATACATCTTTATCTAACACATATTCTTCAATTTTGTATTATGATTTGTCAATTAAAATACTTTTCAAAGTTTAAATTTACGAACTGATAATCTTAATATATGCTCCGGTAAAAACGTATACAATCTTATTGTAAAAAGGATACGATATAATGAAGTGCTATACATAAAAGCATAATTTTTTTTTGACATCGAATTAACTTTCAATTCCGAGAAGAATCCCTATTAAATATTAATAAAGTTCGAGACAACATCAATTACCTGGTCTCAAATTAGGGATTCTCTTATGAGTACCAGAGCGACCGAATTCACTACCCATAACACCCAAACCTGAAGCAATTTACGAAAGTTCACTTTCCAAATTTCATATTCGTCCTGTGCCCACATTGCACTACTCAGGTCGTCAATAACATTGCATTTTAATTATAAATAATAGAGTTTTTAGACCATAGGTTCCCAAACTCTTTGGCTTACCGCCCACTAGGCAAGATAAAAAAATTTCGACACCCACCACAACAAAAATAAATGAAAACACGTATTTTTATATTAATTCAACACAAAAAATCGTAAAGTAGTTTATATAGATAATTCAGGTTTTTTTTTTCAAACGACCCCCAATTTCTTCCGAGGACTCTTCAGCGCCAACTGGGGACCTCTCTGGGAAACTACGTTTTAGACTCACAATTTTGTGTGCATTATAATATGTAGGTAAGTAGTATGACAGGAAGCCAGTGGATGATATGTGAAAAATTAACTGCCTCTGTGGCCGAACGGTTACCATGGCGGACTGCCACGCAGAGGTCCCAGGTTCGATTCCCGGGCCGGGAGAAATATTTGTATGGCCTACATTTATTTCTCTCGTGAGTTTGGGTGTAATTTGTGGTTGTCTATGTGTGTGTCCATGGCACCCGCGACATAAGGTTTCCCTAGTGCGGGGCTATGTTGAGTGTGAACATTATAAATAAAAAAAATTAAAATAAAAAAATTCCTAAAGACATACAGTATTTTAGACACCGGTTGAATACATCCATCGCTGTCACACATTCATGGCATATGGCACACGGGGTGTCGGTAAACGAAACGCAGCGGGAGCTAGCGGATCTCATCTATGCCGTGACACCAATTTATCTTTGCAGATGAAGATTTTGACGCCACTTATACCGCTACTTTTTCGATAATAGAGGCCCAAACCGGAATAGTTTTTATTTCACTGATTACTACAGCAGTGTTCAGAATATCCTAAATTTTATTACGACTGCATTCCATTTTGACTAAACCTTCTTCCTGATGAATTTAATGTTATTGAGGTAGGCCGATCTCTAGATCTATGATAAATTTAACTGTTATATGGGTGGAAGTCCAAGGTCTAGAAGTCAGATGTAATATGGCTTAATAAAAACTGGTGTTTCATTATGTCTTTGATAATTGACTTAATTAATTACCTGAAGTATCAGTAATTAATGATTGAATATCATGTTTTTACAACCATGACATTCATTTATTTTTTGTGAAAATACTCCACTAGTTTGTTATTAATGTGTTCGAAGAAACACAAAGAAAAATCTTTAGATCCGACTGGATACGAACCAGCGTCTGTCGCCTCAACGTGGCTACATTATATTGTCAGATTATTTATTAACAGGAATGTTAGTCGCAATTATTCTTGTTTTCTATGAGAAGGCAGCACCGTTGTAATAATTTTAAGGGAACAAAAACAGCCGAAGAAAAGGATTGCGAGAAAGATAAATAAATAAACATTAGACAATATCACATACGCCGCTCTGATT